AAAAAAAAAAAAAAAAAAAAAAAAAGCCCTTATTCATTATTCATCCTAAATATTAAGCCTGGACCCCACCCTTTTACTGTATTATAGAGTTACAGGATGATTATCTTTTTACCCTAAAAACCTCTGGTGGTAAGTTTTACCTCTGGTGGTAAGTTTTTATCTGATCACTTGGTAACAAAATGCATAAATAATAAACTCACAATATTGTTATAACATATGTTGTGATGTATTTTCTATGTAAAATAGTTAACTTTTATACTAAATTAGGCATTTGGACTAGGATTAATGGTATTTTCCCCTTACTGATCGCATACCAATACTGATATCATTACTGTTAATATTTTTTATGAATCAATCAAATTTTTATTTCAAAGGCTCTTAATTGAGTGAATGTTCTGTGGTGAAAATGTTACCTTTTTCTTATGTGGAAATCAAGTCCAGGACAAGTTCTTATTTATCTATTATAATTATTATATAAAAAATGCATACTAGTTTCAAGAAATAATATTTGTTCAGTGTCCATAAATATAATTTAGGGAAAACTGTAGTTAGTCAGCCTGTGTTGTGTGAGGTTTATAACAAAGATATAATACAGATTAGTGAGGAATCGATCGTATTGGGCATAAATATCAAAATTAGCAGTATTGTACTGAATCATTTTAATTTTTATTAACTTTAAGCTCAGGGCGGTATGTTAAAAAACATTTAAAAAAAAAAATTGACTCTTGTTTTCAGTTATTGATATATTTTGAGTTATTGATATAATCATCAAATTGTACTTATTTATCATTTACTAAATAATTATCAAGAAATATATTTAGTATACGAATCTTATAAGTTATGAGGCCCATTTTTTAAAAATATATTACATACAAAACAATTTTAATTTACTGCATTTTAGAAAAAAAAAAATATAGGTTTTGCTAAAACATTGAAAACTTTTTTATTTTTCACAGAATATTTGACTATGAATTGTATTAGATGATGAAGTAGATTAGATGATCTATGTTATTTAAATAAATTTTAATTCTTTTATAACAAGGAGTTTTTCTCTCCTTCACACCGTGTAACATTTTTGCTTAAAATAAAAAAAATAACTCTCTAATATTATTTTAATTGTTTTTATAACTAAAAAAATAAAATATCTAATGATAGTTGAGTCAAAGATGAACAAGTTAATATAATAACTGATCAGATCAGAGCTATTTCAGATGAGATACTTTGTCTCATGGTCCTTTAACAAAATTTGTAAAGGTTTTGTAAAATGACTATTGCTGCAATAACACATTTTAGACAAATGATTTCACTGCTAATTATAATTTGAAAATCAATTTATTATTATTCAACTACTGCTAGGTCCAGGAAAACTCTGTTATGCTTTCTATTTATGCTCATATGTGACTAAAGGGGCAATAGTTAATAGGTTTATAGAGTAGTGGTTCATATTTGTTTAATCACAGTGCAACTGAGCAGGTGAGAGAAAATGTGTCAAGGGTTTACACCAGGCCTGCACAACATACGGCCCTTGGGCCGCATATGGCCTGTCAGCACCCGCTCTGTGACCCGCCAGGTAACGAAAAACTATTTTTTCTTATTATTTCCTGCAAAACTTTTTTTTTTTTTTTTTTTCCCCGGGGGGAACAAAAACCTCTTTTTTTTTTTTTTTTTTTTAAAACCCCCCCCCCCCCCCCCACCTATATTCTTTTGGCCCGCGCAAGTCCTGTCCTATTTTCTTTTGGCATGCACAAGTTTTTCATAATGTATTACTGCCCGCCTTATATTTTGAATGGGCAGGCCTGGTTTACACTGATTACTAAAACTGAAATTTAATTCTAGAGAAACATGTATGATTAGTCAACCTAATTTTAATAGTCACAAATTTTTCTTTGAAATTACATTTTGAACTGTTTTTTTTAAATGATACCTTAAGTACCATTTGAAATATATTTTAAGAACAACTGAGACCTTGACAATGCATATGCTTTGTATGTTCGTATGCATGTCAAAATATAATCAGCCCCTAATTTTAATTTGTTTTAACTGAAAATTGTATAAAAACCTTTTGAACTACAGATTTTTTAAAATTGTAAATTAATAACGTCATAATGCTCTATGGTAGGAACAGGTCAAGTTTGCATGTGATAATTCTTGAATACACAATATTCCTGTTCAACAACAATGAATACCTAAAAAAACACAATTTCAAAAGCAAATGAACCTCACCTGTCTGAGCACAAGCCATGAGATCTCGTTTTCCTAGAATAATTGGAATTGCAAACTTCTGGACAGGTGTGGGTTTGCTGTACTTGCTGAGGGCAATATTGTTGCGTACTATCTCTCCAAGGCTACAGTCTTCAAACTAAAACAGAAATAGTATTTCAAAACTATATGCACTAAAAAAGAATAAGTTTATATATGTCTGAACACAATGAAGACAATGCAAGAGGGATAATGGTATAAGTTACCGGTACGAGAAAACTACTTACTATATTTTATTAATAATAATGAAAATTACATTTAAATAATTTACGGAATGTTAATTTATACAATCTCAGGTTTATATGTATATCATTATTATAAATAAGCATATGTGTATGACCATTATTAATATTTACATTATCAATAGGTTTCGGTGGACTATCTCCACTGGCCTCAACAGGAATATCCTCATACTTGTCAAAGTTAATTCCTGTGTTTCCAGCTCCAAATAATTCACTGGAAAAAAAATATTATGTACAATTTTCAAGAAATCAAATCCACACAGCACAACCACCATCCAGATTTAATGCTTTATTTTTACCCGAACATGGGTATCCACATAATAAAGCACTTTAAAAAAAAAAAATATGACACGAATGTCTACTTTGTTACTAATCCTTTTCTTTCCTGTATGGTTAACTTACTCCAAGGAGACAAAATTTTATGACCTGGATTACACACCATGCATTTGCACTGCTATGATTTACAAAAATAAAATGTCATATACTGCCTATGACGAAACATAGTTTCAAGATGTGAAACATAGTTTCAAGATGTTTAGTAAGGTTATTAGGTACAATGAACTGACATTTAACAGATTCATTGACATAATATCCAATGTTTTGTATGTCAGCTTATTTTCTCAACATACATGCTATTTTAAATGAGAATATGTTTATTTACGACATCTGAAAAATTTGTGTGTTGCAACTTATATTTACTGTGCTGGGCTATACTAAAGCTATTAGCTTATTCATATATTGAAAAAGATAGTTATTTTAGAGATGTGACCAGAATTTCAACCTATCCTAATACTGATGTATAAACTAAAACTATGCAGTTAATAAACCTATTGGTATGAGAAAATATGAGTAACTCAATGCTGATTTTAATGAACCCTTAGTTTAGGCAGTAAAAAAAAAAATATTGACTAAAATTCATGCTTTAATATATTATGAAAAGCAAGCAGTCATCGAGTCTTCTAAAAGTTAAACTACAAAGTGACGATTTTAAAAATATTCTTGATAGTACTTTATCAAGTTTAAAATCTGAAAATTATATTGTTTTGCTATAATTACTCACTGTTCAAGCCTTTCATTTCTTGGCAGAGGTATTGACCAGTCTTCCTGTCGGGATTCACTACCAGCATTATCCTCTCGGTTGTCCCAGCGATTGTAACCTTGTCCACCCATACGACGCTCACGATCTCGATCCTCCAGTAGGACATCCCATCTGTTTCCACCACCAACACCACCAACCGGAGCTGGGGGAGGGGCACTCCCTTGTCTGTTCCAACGATCATTTCCACCTCTATAAAAAAATTTGTTAACGATTCTATTAATTTGAATGGTAACAAATCTAATTAGTTTTAAAAATGTATTTTCTAAAATAAAAACAAGAAACTAATTCATAAGCGCTTTTACAATTTCTAAAATCTTATTACCAATAGATAAGATGAGGTATGCAAAGTAGTTTCACAATTAAATTATAGACATTTGTCTTTATTAGTTAAAATTTACATTAATACATAAATATATACTTGATTCATACTTTTGGGGAAAATGCAGTTGTTTCATGGTGACAACTTAATATTAAATGTAATAAGATGTCAAGTTATCCTCCTATTGCAATCTCTAAAGTCAACAGCTAATATTAAGAGCAAAATAGTCTAGCTTATATTAAAAGGTAATTAACAGTTGTGTCAAAGACTACAGAGTTTTAAAACTAAAAATAGATATTCAGAACATCTTAATACTGCAGGGGTATTCGAATTCTCGCCTGCAATGTCATTTCAACTGGCCTGCTGACGATTTCCAAAAACAAAAAACACTTCTTTTCTTTTAATTAAGTTAGTGAACTAACTCAATGCTGAATTTCAGAACTAAAATAAAGATAATAAACTGCATCAGCCAACGATTCACATTATTTACACAATGATCAGAAAAGGTTGACTCTTCCTTTACTGGCTAAAACATTTTTGTAACTTATTTATCTTATGTTAAAATCTATTATTTAGGTCTGTAGTTATAAATAATGAGATAGGCTAATCAAAATTGTTCTTTTTTGGTATCTGCAGCCTAAAAATGAAACAACAGTAGCTCTGTAAACTATATTAGCCATTTATTTATACAGATGATAGGGTCAGGAGAGATTATGGTGGGTTCCATCTTTAATAGGTCATGAAAAACTACCATGAGTCTTTTTCGAGTCATAGTTTGCCATAGGGACAAATAGCATTAATTTAGGGTTGTTACAGTGGCACCTGATAGGTTGTTATTACCCTATTGGGATATTTAGAGTACATACTCCAGCTTTTCATAACTATAATCCCTCTGTTATCTGTCCGTACAATAAAAAAAACCCTCAACTTTGCCCTGTCATCTATCAAAATTACAATGCTCCAATAAGTAATCAAGAAATGCAGAAATCTAGTCCTAAGAATTATTAGAGAATTTTTTTGAGGATAAATATTAAGCCTTGTCGTAGGCACCAATATTCAACAGGCACGGAGTGAGTGTGCATATGGTCCACATGAACCTCCAGGGACTGGATTAAAAAATAAATTGTTGTAAACCTTTAAAATAACAACTAATTACTATCAGACATTCAGCAAAACACAATACTTCACAATTAAAATACAGGACCTAGAAAACACTGAAGTTGAAATAAAGACTATCATTGAAAAATCAGGAGGTAAGAAAATTACAAACCTGTCATTGAATTGCTGAAAATTACCCCCACCTCCGCCTCCACCACGCCCAAAGCCACCCCCTTGATTGCCCCCACCTCGACGGTCATAGCTTCCTCTGTTATCGCGCTCATTGTAGCTGAGAAAAAGTGTTACAATTTATTTAAATATGCTGTAGCTATTAAATTTTATTAAGAAATCAATCCCTGCTATTATTTCTAAAAAATGAAAAACAAAATATGTACATTAGGGATCAACTGGGTAGACATTTCCAACGGGTACTGAATCCAAAGTGGACTGTAATTTGCCAAATCGGGATACAAATCCAAGTACTATTTGTTTATTATAGAAAACTACAAATTATTCATGCTATACATTATAATATATTACAGCGTATAACATGATCCAAATAATGTGATTTGTTAATCTTGTCCAATAACAATGTAATAAAAATTAACCTGAAAAAAATATTTTAAAAGTCAAAATTCTTTCCAGGTCTTGCTTGAGATTGAATTCAAATTCAGAAATTTGAAATTGATGCAATTTAGACTATAGTCATTCAGCAAGTTAAATGAATATTATTAAAAATTTATTTTTAAATTAATATTTGGACTGTCACTGAGCAGAGACGAATGCTTGAACAGGCAAATGTCTGATTTGATATCCAGTTGTTCCCTAATTTATATAATGATCTTGATTTATCACTCCCAAAAAGTACAGATAAAAAAAACCCACTAAAATTTAATGGTAATAAGTGTTTGAAAAATTGTCACTCTAACACTAAGTAGTAAGTTTATTTCAAACTCTTCTACTGGTTCCTTTACTTACCCACTTCTCATGCCACCACCACCACCACCACCTCCACCCCTGTTGCTGTAACCACCTCTATCATTGTAGCTTCCACCCCGGTCACTGCTGTAATTTCCACGATCATTATAGCTGCCGCCACGATCACTGTTGTAGTTACCAGCTTTGTCATTACCTGATTAAGTCAAATTTGAAATGTCAAAATCATGAAAAACTTGAGTTTACATTTTTTTTTTAAAACAGCAAAACAAATTTTTATCACAAATCTCTAAAAAGATCCCAGCATTCAACATGCTTCACAATTATGCTTCAATGAATGTTGTAAATTTTGACCAAAAAAAAAAAAAAAAAAAAAAAAAAAAAAAAAAAAAAAAATAAAAAAAAAAAAAAAAAAAAAAAAAAAATTAAAAGTAGTTTAAAAAAATTAAAAGCACTGGGAGACAAGATCTTCATTTACCAGGCATTGACAGCAGTAAAATTAAAAACTAAATGTATGCTATACAAGGAAATACATACAAGGGTTTTGGAATTGGACACAAATTTACCTCGAGTAATGGAACATTAGCTCAAACAAATATTATGCAATAGTTTAAAATAAAATGTAGCATTAATGTATTAATTTCAGACTTTGGAAAATTGAAAAGCAATAACATCGTACAATATAGTAAGTTAAAAAAAAAAAAAAAGAACAGTTTTAACAAGCCAAAAGAAGCAAGCCAAGGCACAAGTTTAAAATAAAGAAACTAGGATAAGTATTTTTAAAATTATTTTCAGAAATTGCTATAAAAAATTTAGCAACTTGACAGACAAAACTGGCAAGCATGAATGACTAAAATCAGGTAAGACGAGTCTTATGCTAATTCTTTATCTGAACATAAAACTTATTTTATGTGATTGCTTTTTTTTTTTTTGCCACAGTTTTACAAGTACAGATTTAAGCTATTCAAAGAGTATAGGAGATGGATTTTTCAGAAAAAATTAAAAGATTTTTTCGGAAAAACTCACCCGACCACCTTCCTCCGTCACGAGGTGGTGGCCCTCTGCCCCCAGAAATTCCCCAATTACCTTGTGGGGGCAAAGATGCAATGGGATGCCCTGGAGGGGGCTGGCTCAGGTTGGGCATACCACCTCCACGAAGATGTGGAGGGACGTAGCGACCACCACCTGCTTGTGATTTAAAAGTTTGAAAAGCCATTGTTTAAAAAAGGGCTTAAAACTTTATATGGATCTAAACTATGATATAAAATAATAGAAGTAGTTTATAGCATTCAGTTCCTTACTATAATTATTCTTTACAGACAGGTTCAAAAAAATAAACGATGTGAATCTTCAGAAAACTCTGAAGAGAAAAAAACTAAAGCAACAAAACGAATTAACATGATAAATTATTACTAAAACTCAAAACGAATTATTTATTGAATATTAAACATTACTCTGTATAAACTAGGTAAAATTACAGTTTAAAGGGATGCATACCGTAGCCACCTTGATGTCCATCATAATCTTGATTGCGACCAGGACCATTTAAGTCCAGTCCAGCAAACTGAGTATTAAAAGTAACAAAGATAGATTAACAAATGAACATGTATTTTAATTGTATTGAAGCCTGAAAAAAATTTACAGGCGGAATCTAGCTAACAGGATTGACAGTTTTAAAAGGACAGAGTTAATTCAGTTGACAAAGTGAAATACTTTGATGCAGTTTGTCGATAATTTTTACAAACACTTCATGACCATATCGCTTAAAAATTACTTCTCCTAGACTAGATAATCGATTGAAATTATCATGTTAAGAAAGCAAAGAAGTTGAGTTAAATTGTTCTTCCAAACTGTGACTCATTTTCTCCAGTGTCATAGCTAGAATGATAGTCGGTAAAACTGCCGGATTGTGTAGACAGCTTTGCTGGGATGTAACCATGAGGTCTTTTGTTTCACACGAATTTAATTAAAGTTGCACCAATAAATCTGTCAGTATGCTGATTAATTTGAACTAGCCTCTGGGCAGGGAAGATCATATGATACAAGAACTGTCAATGACATACAAAGTTAAAATAATGTCTCTTCGTACTTGACTTCATGAGTTACTGTTGTATGTTAGAAAATAGGGAATGTGTATAAACCAATGCCATATCTACACAAGAAAAATGATAAAACCCTAGAGCAGGCTTGCACAACATGCGGCCGCCAGCACCCACTTTGCGGCTCGCGAAGTAATGAAATGTTCTTTATTCTAATTATTTTCTTAATAGCTTCCCCCCCATCCTATTTTCTATTGGCTCCCACAAGTTTATCATTAAGTATTACGGCCCGCCTTACATTTTAAGCTGTGCAGGCCTGCCCTAAGAGAGATTTTTAATTTGAAAAAAATTACAGACTCTGGTAGCCCCGTTTTTACAACCAAAATCTATGGGGCAGCCCTTAAGGCCTACCCTTGTCTTACAATGATGACCCCTACGATTAGAGCCAGGCTGAGAACCACAGATCTAGAATAATTATTAAGTGTGGGTTCCTAGATACAAAGGATTGCGTGGGTTGCTTGATACAAAAGCCACTAAATATCAAAGAGAGGGGGGGGGGGGGGGTGGGTGAAATTATGATTGCCTTATTGGTGATAATGAAATAAAACTTACAGGTAAATGTATTAGGTCTACATGTTTTAATGTTGAGCGAATTCCATATGATTAGCAAGCCCTCAAAGCTTGCCACAAAAAATATTAAATCAACTTTCTTGCCACAAAAAATATTACATCAACTTTCATTTTATTTAATTTAACAGTTACAGATTTTTTAAAGTTAGTAATACCACTTTATATGATCCATTTAATTGTAATATGATGTAAAGAAAACAGTGTGATAAATTGTTCCAAAGGTTATGGGTAGGCATTTTGGTAAAGCAAGGGAGACTACTTCAAAATGTGCGTAGGTACAGAATCAAAATCTTTTATTTTTGGACATTGATACCTTGTCATTACTGAAAGAACCATCATGTAATACATTTATGGTATCTATTCACATATTCACCACAGTGGACACTTTGACCTAAATTTCATAGTAATTCTTTGCATTTTAAATCAATCCTATTTTCGGACATTCCTAGATATATAAAGAGACTACTTATTTTGACCTGTCAACTTTTGCTCATCACTTATTAGTTAAAGGTTTCCATGACTTAATACTTTTTCCAATCTCTTATGCATGAAACTATGAGAATAATACTAAAGTAGTTTAGTACATGGCAGTGAGTGAAAGGGTGCTCATGAAGTTTTGCACACTGCAAATTATAATTTATTATACGCGCTTTACTGCTTTTTTAACATCAAATTAAAATTTATTTTTTTGTTGTTGAAGAAATTCAAAATCTATGTCTTTCATATTAAATCTTCCTTAGCATTATATATTGATGCATATGTGCGCCAATTGCCAATGCTCATTGAGTTAGGTCATGTCTGCCATTAGTTATGCTCACTCGGGTAAACCACAGTATGGTAAGGTTGCTAAGCCTAATCACATTAAGGAGGTGACTACAACCCTCTCCAAACAGTTATATTGGCGAAAGTCGATCCTTAGAAAATATACAATTATTAGGGGTGTGCCGGATCCGTTTTTTTCCAGCCGGATCCGGATTTTCTTATGCGAAATCCGCCGGATCCCGGAATAATCCGGATTCCGGAACTTTGCAGATACCGGTAAATCTGAGGGGTTGGATGCCTTCTGAACAGTTGGCCTAAATGGCTAAATGACATTGGCTGATTGGAAGTTGGAAGTGAAGAACTTTGAAATAAATTAGAAAATAGAAATTATTCAGAAATCACTGAAATCAGAATAAAACGCAGATTGATAATAAGTTATTATCCATATGTAACTAAACTCGCTGTTAAGTTCTAACTCGCTGCAAGGTCAAAGGAAAACAACTTTACTATTAGTCTATTACTTTCATTACTTTGGCACTTGCCACTTGGCAGTGTAATTTTTAACTATTGTAGTGCACTAATTGTTTTGAATCTGAGGAGAAAGTCAGACTCATCATCTGAGTTCATCTCGTCTTGTCATTGGCTCATTGGATTGGGCCGATTGGCCACTATTAGCGGTGCTGACTCTAGCCTCTGGTATATTCGGAATATCAAACATTAAACAAGCTCAACGCTCGAAACAATCGATTAATGTATCGTGATCGTGTGGAATTCGGGAAAGAGAATTACTTTTATTTCAGATTATGATCCGGAGAGTCACAAAATCTGGCAAATTCCGAAATCCGGTAGTTCCGGATACATGTAAATCAGGCGGAACCGGATTTCACCGGATAGTGCAAAATCCGGCGGAACCGGATTCCGGCACACCCCTAACAATTATTACTACTATTTACATCAAAATATTTGATAACTTGTGTTTTAGCATGTATCATATAAGGCATTTAACCAAGAATATTTTAATTTGATGTTAAAAAAGCAGTAAAGCGCGTATAATAAATTATAATTTGCAGTGTGCAAAACTTCATGAGCACCCATTCAGTCACTGCCATGTACTAAACTACTTTAGTATTATTCTCATAGTTTCATGCATAAGAGATTGGAAAAAGTATTAAATCATGGTCATGGAAACCTTTAACTAATAAGTGATGAGCAAAAGTTGACAGGTCAAAATAAGTAGTCTCAAAACATTATTTTTAGGGGGATGTCTTATTTATATTAATTGTCTTATTTTGCTATAATTAATTTTAATAACATAATTTGATAACCAGTATTTATTTTCAAATTTTGGATGATTTGATAATCACTAATTAAACCTATTTTTAAAATGAAGATTTAAAAGTTTAAATATTTATGAATAATCTTTTAATAGTGGATGCAATTTTAAGTGAATATTTTTAACTTCACCATTTAAATAATAATTTCTACCAGTACAAAATTTTAAGCTTATTCTTACTGTAATTATAATAATAATACCAACTTTTTTAAAGACGGGGAAGCTATTTAATTAATGTATCTTCTATTTAATAATAATTTTGAAAGTGTGCAAAAGCCACTTCCGGTACTCATCATGCCTATTTTAAAAAAAATGGCATACTTTCTATTTTCTATTTCTGGTGCACCATTTCAGGCTTGAAAATTGATTTTTCCAGTGAAAGAATAAAGTTAAATTAATTAGTTTATAAAATGGAATGGAAAAACTATAATGCTAATAGGGTCCACGCATCAGGTGCCATCTCTTTGGGGAACCCGAAAACTTGAATTAGGTGCATAACCAATAGTTGGTTCCAAATTTATTTATTTATTTAGGCATTTTTATATAGCGCTTAACATAAAGCTCTAAGCGCTTTACAATTATGAAAAACATGTAAACTAAGTAAAATAAAAATAAGACACTAGGATAGTAACTAATATACTATAGAAACAATGAAAATGGCTATAAAACGAGGACACTTTGACACGTTTTGGCCTATACTTCAGGATCAACCCAAAACAGAAAATGAGGCAGGGTAAGGAGGGTGCATCACAGGTCATAGGCGGACCTAAACAGATGAGTTTTAAGGGACTTTTTGAAAATGGACGAGGTTTCACAATGACGGATATGGAAGGGGAGCTGGTTCCAGAATGTGGGCCCATGGAAGCAGAAGGAGCGTTCACCGATGGTCTTAGTTTTGGTTCTTGGGATTGAGAGGGTTCTACTGTCAATGGAAGAACGTAGTTGTCTTGTGTCTATGATAACTTTCCCCTTCTTCACGTCATTAACTTAACGATCCATCCAGTTCATTTGCAATATTAAAATGAAAATTGACATAAATATTGAAATCTTTTGAATAACACTGTAGAGGGAAGTTAACCTGGGGGGAAAGTGCGTGACCTACATACTGTGAAACACATCGCAGGCCTTACCGCTAACCGCAAATATTTCCTGAAAATTCTATACAATTATCTATTAAAATAAATAAGTTGTTCCCAAAATAGTGCAGAAATGTGAACAAATGGACACAAGGTTTGGGGTAAAATAGTTTATGTAAGGGCTTAAAAAATTCAACAGAAGATATAACTCCACTTGACTTCTATAAAAGCTAAAAAGACGAAATTAATATTTTTGGAAAGCTTATAGGTAGCCCTTTAACCCTCTTGGACAGAGGCTTTTTGGGGTGTATGTGACAAAAAGACAGAGGACATTTTATGATCTCAGCACTCGCATTGCAAAAGAATTTATTAAAAAATTAACTTTTTCCTTAATACATATAAAATTATATATATTCTTGTAGGAAATTGAATGAACTAATACAATCTTTATGAATCAAACTGAAATATCAATATTTATGCAAACGAGCTAACCTAACTTGCATAATTTATGCCTGTATTTTTTTTTTGTTGAACATCGAATAAACATGACTTACTTGTATCAATTGTGTGAATTTTTCGATGGATGAAGCCTGAATATGTCGTATTACTTATGTTTTAGGGAAAACAAAGGCCCATGGAGGCCCTTCAGACACCCCTGGCACTCCTTTTCCAGCCCCCAGCTATTTTTCAGTTCTTACATTTTTCAGTTGTTACAGACACTCACTGTAACATGCCCCCATTTATGACCTAGGGACCTACTCTTAAAGCTGGATGTTATTGAGAAAGTTGTCTGCATATCTATTGGTCTCTATCATAAACATTTGTGTGATATTTAGTGTAAAATAATAGCAAATGGGGTGCTTGTGCCTTATTTGTAGGACCTATTATGTCTAAAAATTCAGAGGGGTTATCTCTGCCCAATTGAGGACCCCTTATACTAAATCAAGAGTTCACAACATTAGCATTACCCTCATTTTGATAGTCTTCATTCATTTCCTGTTTGTTTTCATCAGTTTCAGTGTCAGATTCACTGTTAGAATATCAAAATCACTAAGGATAGTTTGATCAGTGTCACTGTCAGACATTCTGAAATTTTGCCACTCACTAAAAAATTCCTGAACACAATAAAAGCCAGTAAACTATCAACACAGGCCCCCATTACAATGCCGGGATGTGCAAGAAGCAATCTGATTGGCTGGCACAAAGACTAGCCAGCCAATCTCGAGGCTTGACTTATTGGGCCGAAAGATCGGACATCCGTCCTTTTCGCTACTCCACTCTGGGCCGATATCTATCGGACCATCCACCACAAGAGGGTTAAATGGCATATGGTGTATCTTTATTGGCAATCAGACAATATTCAGTTTTTTTTTGTTTTTTTTGTGTCACGGACAGGAACATAACCATTTGGTAAGTTTATCACATAACACTTTTTTTTTTTTATTTATTCCATAAAACGGTTAAGTTCTTTAGAAATTGCATTCATTCACGAGCATTAACATATTTAAATTATTAAAATCGACCAAGTAAATGAAAGGTTATGCCTCCCGCTAAAATGTAGGGGGGAGAGGGGTATGAAAATGTCGCCGAAGCCAAAGCGAAAGTTAATTTTATTCGACCGAGTTGCCGGAAATGATTATGATTACTGTCAATTATGAAGTGATCCTTTTTTTTTTGTTGAATCCTTAATCATCTGAATAATTCTAATACGTTTCAAATGAATAATTTAAAAAAATATAAGAAAAGATTATAACCAAACTTGAAAAGTTTTGGGTAGAGTCTACGGGTTGCTTTTTAGTTTATTAGATTAAATAGTTTTGTTCACCAGGTACCAAATTTATCCGTTCTAGTTCTACCGTTCTTCATTATTGAATCAATAATTGTTTAATAATAGTAACAGCAGTAATAATAATTGTTATTCTCTTATAAATTACTACTCATATGGGAGAATATAAAAAAAAATAGGCATACAATTACAGTTATTTTACCAGTAATCCTATTAAGTATATTAAGTCTATTTAGGCTAATATTTACAACACACTTGCAGGCCTAATTAAAGTTAGTAATTTTTTAATGTAATAAAGTAATTATAAATTTTTAATTATTGTTAAGTTAATATAAATATAACATTTTAATACTACAACATCATTATAGTAATAATTTTTTTATTAGGACATAGAAAAGCAGTTTACATAAACAATAATTTAATATAAGCAACACATAAAATGATATTATTAAAAAGAAACAAGAAATTGTGAAGATTCAGAATTATGATTAGATGTTATTCCTAGGCTTCTTTCAGGTACAAGGGAAAATTTTGATTTAAATCTTTTTTTTTAAATCTATTGAAGAGAAGATTTTTGTGGAATTTATGCCACTTCCATCAACAGTAAGGCATATAGGGACGAGGATGGCAAAGACAAAGTTTATGAAGGAGAAATTTTGTGATTCATCAAGACCAAGAAGTCTGTATAGGAGTCTACATAGAAAATGACAGGCAGAACATCCCACTCCCTTTTAAAATTTAATCACATAATTTCATCCATTTAATTTTGTATTAAAAAAGAATTCAACTTACCTTTCATAAAGATAAGAATTTATTTGAAATATAACTGAATCATACATTTAGTTAAACTACAATAAACATGTAATTTTTTTGTTTTTGCCTTTACAAATAATAACTTTTCCACTTTTTTGGACATGATTTTTTCAACATATCCGCCAAGAAAATTATGCAAAATAAAGTCTTGATGTAATGTAAAAGTTATGTTGTTCTTTGTGTTGTTTATTAGATTAGGAATGGCTCCTGTAAATTTGGTGTACTTATCTCTAAAATTAAAATGGTGTGGCGAAATAGTGCAGAAATGTGAAATTAGGGTCACACGTTTTGGGGGTAAAATATCAGGTACCTACTAAAGCTAAAAAGTTGTCACTTGATTGTGGTTTTATTTTTTAAAAAGGTAAATGCTAAGAGAAACCACAGCGTTATTTACCATGGCCGCCATCTATGTTGACACGACCACACGGCCCGTGAAAAGGTTGAAGGCCACCACCCCAAAGCCTTTACCTTACACCTAAAGCCTACACCACCACATCTATCCCTAAGCCTAAGCCTAAACCTTACGACCTAAACATCTATCCCTAAACCTAATCTGAACTCTAAAGAATAACACAAATGAAATCACGGTGATATCTCTTAGCATTAGCCTTAAAAAATTATTTTGAATTGTTCATTTTTTTTTTTTACTGAAGTACCTAGGCCCAGGCTATTGCTTCAGTTTAAACATTGAATTTCAAGATAACTCAGACAAGCACAAGTTTAGTTTAGTTATGGAGAAATCAATTCAGTTGCAGAAACACTGGCGTCTAGTGCTCTGCTTCACCCTAAAAATGGCATGGCATAAGTGAATTAAGTCAGACAGGATTGTATCTTAAGTCTGTGAGTATGAAGAATGCCACTAATGTAGTTACTTCGATGAAACAAGGGAGACTACTACTTTTTGTGTATCGGGAATAGAAATCGACGCAGAAAAATCTGAGTTTTTAATTTTCCGATGTGTGTGTCTATTTATTATTAAATTAGTACTTTCGATATATATTTGAGTTCCGTTTTTGGCCTTATAATTAGGTAGACATCTTGGCCTACATTTTAATCAATTTCTTTTTCATTTACAATCAGTCAGCTTTGAGAAAATCCTTGGTAAATATAAGGTAACTTTCATCATTAAAATTAAGTCGAAGGAAAAAATGTCACTACCAAAATTTTTTTTGCATCTGGGAAATCTATTGATCTACACGTATGCCAATTTGCACAGCGATAAGTGTCTCACGAGAGACGCCATGTTTCTACGCGTTTGCAGCAGGTCATGCAGCTCACTCAACCTAATTTCACCATGGCCTAATTTCGCCATGGGGTGGGTCAAGCCCCCTTTTTAATGGCGGATGTTGTCGATACTTAGGAAATATTAATTTATTACCACTATTTACATCAAAATAATTGATAACTTGTGTTTCAGAATGCATTTTGAAGACATTTAAACTGGAATGTTTTAATTTGAGCTTTAACAACCCGGTAGAATCCATATTATAAATGATCAGAATTTACAGTGTGCAACACGTTGTCATTGGCAACCATTCACAGCCACTTGCATAATGGCTGTATCGTAGTACTACCTCAGAGTTTCATTCATAAGAGTTTGCCGTGTGCAAAAACTACTATACCATTGGTCAGGGAAAGCTTTAATTAATTATTCATGTGCCAAAGTTGAAAGTTTAAACTAAGTCAACCCTAAACAGTATTTTAGTGATAAGGCGATGCGTTGCCTTATATAAAGTATATAGTCATTGCGCATGACGCGAACAGCGGAATGAGGTCACAAGATGTGGAGGTTTCGTCCATAGTAAAAAATACCAAACGAACTCACACTTTAAAATTCATAGCTCAAAAAGTACTTAAGCTAAAAAGTTGATTCTGGTTTCATTTTTTTTATTTGAAATTTGCTCTAACTGTGTTTTTTTTAAAATTATTTCCATCTTTTAAAATTTTGTATACAAGTGCCTACACTAATGTCTAGGCAGGTCTTGGGGCGGACTGGTACTCTGAAATTACTCTCCCCAGCCCCAAGGGCCTTGCCTTATATCAAATTTTTTTTTTTTTTTTTTTTTGGGGGGGGGGGGGTATGAATAAGGGACTATTAGTTTAACCAACATTTCGTTACAAAATAAGTTTTAAAAATAACAATTTCCAAATCCTGTCAAAAATTTTTACAGATAGCTTAAAATCTTTGTCTAACTGACGTCGACTTCTTGTAATGGTGGCCACGATGGTGTAGAGTGATCGTACGCCATCTTGAATTTCTCAAGGACTACAGTATTTTGAAAATGAACTAATCTCTACGGAATATATTTTAAAAGCAGCAGTAAAAATCACATAAATATGCTCACCTGCTGATCTAGACCAGGACCATTTTGATTAGAACCATTAGGCATATTACGAAGCTGTGATGAAACTCTAGCAAAAAAAAGGGAAGATGGACCAATTATGATCACCCAATGTAAAAAGGACTACGTTAAGTCACGTGACGTTCAGACATGAGTTATTATTTTTTTTTATCAAAACATTTATGGATCATATGTTAAATTGATCTTATGAATAATAAAATAATTTTAGCTTAAATAAATTATTATATTTGTTTCATTAGAGAGCTATTGCGTTTTAATATTGTTGTAATTAATGTCACAATAATGTCAATATATTGCAATAATGATACCTCCCACATACATTGACGCCTTTGTACCGTTAAGTCTAATTTAAGGTCTACCTTATTAGTCGATTAGATGAAATGATTTACCAACCTAAGAAATTGTATTCGTTTTGTATAGTTTGTTACACATTTCATTCACTATACATATATATGAAGTAATATTGTAAAACTGCAGGCACTTTTGAAATTGCTGCTGTTCTTAAAGGCCCAGGGTTGCTACATGAAAGGGAAAATTTACTATTAAGTTATATTAGGCCTTTAACTTAAATATTCTTCTCACAGTTATTTACTGAACGATTATGCAAGTCAGTGGTTCCCAACATTTTTTTTACTCGTGGCCCCATTTTTGGAATCAATTTCTATGGTGACGCCTCTTAGGCCTACCCTATGGCAATTTTAAAGGTTTTATAGTATTTTCTGAATCGGTCGCTGAGCACATAAGAAGTGAGTTTTTAGTGCATAGTTTTCACGGATAGTCTACAACTTACTCCATTTTCGCCCTCCTCGCGTTTAATTTTAAATGCCCGTTATAATATATCCTTGACATGACCATAAGGAGTTTTAACCATGACCAGGGTCGACACTAGGGTCGGTGTCAACAGTGACGTATGTTTACGATGTCACTCTTTCAGAATACTCCATAAGAATAAGCCTCCTCTTCTTTCCTCCCTTCTCTTCTATATTTTGGGGGCTCACGGTCAATGAATTGATCATTCTGGCTCCTATGTTTGTATAGGGAGTTTGCATGGTTTAGAAGAGGATACTTCACTGGTTGCAAGGGCTACTCAGTGATGGTATTAGGAACTGGGGGTGGGAAGGCAAGAGGCAACAGACGCAAATGTGTAGTCGCCTCCACTGTTGCTTTTGGAGGCTTTTTCCGGTCCCTGATTGACTTTGGCAGGAATGAGCAGTTCCTATACTAAGTTCTTGTTGTTATGAGCCGGAACTGTCTGTCATTGCTTATGCTCTCCCATTCCAGAACATATAGATTCGACTATGGCCAGGGGTGGATCGACCTATCACCGATGGGCCGATCCACCCCTGTTATATATATATACATATATGGGTGCTGGATGGTCCAGTTGTCTAAAGTGAGTTGATCCCAAGCCTGTAGTTCATTCCGCCCCCACCCCAAAGACACACTCAAGCTCAAGCTAAAACATCACTAGCACCCTAGGTGGATGGGACCCGCTAACCTTGACCATTGCAATTTACCCAAGAGAAGGAAACTCTGAATCAAAAACCCGGAGAAAGAGTCCCGACCGCGGACAAATTGACACAATGAAAAATTCAGACAACTCCAGCGACGCTACTTGTGCCAAGCTGCATCATCCATATATGGTGTTCCCTTGGGTTATGCGCGGAGAGAGTCTAGTTGCTGTCTAGGGAACCAGCTTATACTCCTAAAGTAAAAAAAAAACAAAAAACCTAGACCTTATGATTTCGTCCTGCAAAGTATACGCTATCGTCACATTGTGACGGACGGATGCCAGGAAAATAAAATAGAAAAATAAATATTTAAATATGTATATACATATGTATTTATTTTTATTGTGTAGCACTAAACGACAGCTCGCAAAGTACTCGACGGTGGTCAGGTGAAGCTTTATTACATTGTTGGCCAAATTTTTCGGAATTTTCCACGAACCAATGATTTGATTTATTTTTTTAAAAAACACAACAACTAATTATAGCCCAACTAAAGTCACGTGACAAAACATGCACTCAAGTAACGCCTTTTATAAGATTCGCAAATAAGACACGTATACCTGATATTCAGAGATCTGAGTTGGAGACTTTAAATGAGTAGAAAGCCGGACACACGCTGTGTTTGTTGAAAATGTATTTTATTTAATAAAAAAAATATTTAAAAAAAAACAACAACATAGAAATGCGAGACCTAATGAATTCCTGGTGGACGTCAAGTTTCTTCTAACGAACTTCAACAAATATGGAAGTGCGGAAACAGAATTGTGACGGAGGCACCTACGTCAGTGAAGCTAGTTTCTCTGTAATGAACAGCATCAAGCCCAAATTAAAGAACCTCTAAACACAAGGTTTTTCGTATAAATCCCTTACGCAATGTGGTGGTGGTGGTGGTGATGGTGATGGTGATGGTGATGGTGGTGGTGGTGATGGTGGTGGTGGTGATGGTGAACCGCACTTTCTAAGAATGCCAGTTGGTGCTCGCCCCAACCACAAACCTCATCAGGACTCGCAACGACACTCCCTTTTCACGCCCTTAAACTCTATTAATACTCTAATGACCCAGCCCGCTTTTACGCAGCATATTTATTTCACCAACAATTTTTATTTAAAAAAAAAAGAAAATATCACGCACCAAAAGCACTTGTGATATTTCTTTGAAAAGAATCTCATTTAGCGCAGTGATCGGGAATTTTATTTTATCTTCCCCTTGAAAAAAAAAGGACCCCCCCCCTGCTTTTTGGGGGTTGGGGGTGCGGTGTTGGGCTGAAGATGAGGTAGAATGTGCTGTCATCGGCAAAAAGTCTATGCGCCAATGTTGAGCTCGATAGGTTGATGGAAAGTGGGTCAATTAGCCGTCTGAAGATTTGCCACCCGGCCAGCCACAAACAAAAGCAAATTTAATATAAAGGATTTAAAAAAAAACAAAAAACTAACGCTTCGACTGGTGAACGTTAGAAAATCTAATGTGGTCAACGGTCAAGTGCTTTTGAATGCTGCATCAAATGTATAAAATTGCATGTACAATTCATAGCAAATATCATTAAACAACCAGAGCCGGATTTACAATTTTAGGGGCTTTAGGCCAACAAAAATTGGAGGCCCCATTTTGAAAAATAAAAAAAATATTTCTAAGTTTTTTAATTAAAACATTTATTACTACTTTAATGTAGCTCAAGATTTTATTTCAATTTTTTACAATCTACATAATCTTTTTTCTGTATTTTTCATCAAGAAAATCGTTAACCAATAAATTGACTTCATTTTCGTCAGCATGTTTGATAATAATGCACAATTATTTAACGCTGTTTGTGACAAAGTTAATCGCAAATCATTTTTTGTTAATTTTAAATTTGAAAATGACCTCTCTCCAGAGCAGTTAGATATTATGAAACATATGAAAATTCTAAGAATTATCAAGGTATTAGGAAATGCAGCCCCCATTTGTCTTTCCTTAATAAGTTTGTAAAATCCAAATGGAACAATTGAGGAGCTTGAGTATTGAAATTATCTTTCAAATAAAGATGTAGATGTTCGATTTCTGTATATAAATTTTCGTCAATGTCTTCTGCGTAGTCTACCACCAGACGATCAACCCAAATCTTCAGTTCATCTTTATTGATTCTCTTCAGTTCATCTTTATTGATTCTCGTGTCTATTAAAAATCGAAATTCGTCATTCAATTCCTGGTAGCATTGGGCTCTTTCTTTCAAAGTTGTAGTGAGATTATGGATGATTTTTAAGAAAACATGTGCCTTAAACTCTTCACGTGGACTCAACTGATGTTCTTCTGAGCGATTTTCACCTGAAAGCTTTTCTCCTTTTACGGCTTCTCTTTTCTAAATAATCAATGTCTGGTAACAGTAATTTAGCACCTGGTTCTATTACATCGAATGTTTCAGTTAATCCAAGAAGATAATCACCAAGAGATGAATAAAGTTCAGAACATGTCTCTAGAGTAATAGTTGCACTTTGAAATGATTTGGAAACTGCATTTATCCGTTGGAAGATTTGATCCCACATGATTGTTTGTAAGGCAAATTCAAAAGTTTCCATTTTCGATAGTATATTGCCAGCCCCAGCTCTTGCTTTCGTTTCAAAAGTTTCACTCTCATTGATTGTGAGCAATGCTTCCATCAGTTTGTTGTAGTTCTGCTGAATGGATTTGACCGAGTCCGCATGAGCGCTCCATCGAGTATTCCATAGTGATTTCAATGAACTACCTGCCAATTGTTCCAAAACACTCCATAGCTTTGTAGAAACAGAGAAAAAATTGTTAAGTTCTTGAACAATACCGAAAAAAATGATTCCCTCGATGCAGCAATCCACAGCAGCCTCTGCCACTCTCCCACTAAGTTAAGAGAATGACCTGAACATGGCAAGAATTTTGCCAGCTTATTGAGTTCCAAAATTCTAGTTTTCATGCCTTTATATTCTCCAGTCATATTGCTCGCGTTATCATAAGACTGGCTTCTGCAGTTGCTGATTTCCAAGTTCAATCTTTCATCTCAAAAAGCCCATGGTTAGATTTGCTAAATTTTTCCCTGTGTGATTATCGATGTGGATGTAGTTGACAAATCTTTCGATTGGCTCATTAGAAGTTTTATCAATGTACCTTAAGATCACACATAGTTGATCTTTGTGGCTCACATCAGGTGTCGAGTCTGCTGATAATCCATAATTCTTCGATTTTAGAACATCATCGCTGATTAATGGCAAAACTTTTCTTGCCATCAATACGATCAACTCCTCACATGTAGTCTTTGAGAGGTAGTTTATTTTTCCAAGAACCGCTGTCACCATAATTTTTTATATGTTCGGCCAAAAAAAAAAAAATGATCAAACTGTGCAATCAAATCGAGCAGACCAATAAAATTTCCGTTCCTCTCAGCCTCTTCTTTCATTTGAACCTCTAAAAGCTAAGTTTCTTTCAATGAATGTACAAATTACAGCCGTAGCTCTTCTTAGAACCTCTCTCCAGTAATTTTTCTCTTTGCGAATTTCGTTTAGAAGTTGATCCTTTAAAACGTTGTTATTTTTTCCGTGAAAGTCAAAGTCGGCTAAAGACGCTTTTCTGTGGTCCGATGAGTTCTCACCGCCTTGAATTG